GACAACCTTCCGAGCTGACCCCATTATCTCGAATCAGTCCCCCTTTTGTTCCATGGCACTACGCTAAACATCAGTTTCCTCTTCCCATCTTTCTCATTTCGCAATCTGTCTTCAAAGTTTACTCATGAAATTCTTTTTTGGGTGTCGGCTTATTGATTCCAACGCATGTCACGAAACAGGCAGTTGGATGTCCTGTTTATTAGTGGGAATAATAGTTCTTTCCATTCTGTCGGTTTTCATTCCTTATGGCACGCAATCTGTAAAATGTAAGCCAAAGGCTTTAGCCTGCAATCTGAGGCTTTCTGTCTCTCTTGTAAATAGAATGCAAATATATTTGGGGATTGAAGCAAGTCCTGCGTTTGGACCTAGTCCCCAGTACAGCAGGAATGAAATGTTTTTTTCTGTTATAGTCTACCCGGGTGGAATCGAATAAGAGGGGCAAAGTTCGTGCCGACCACAAAAGGTAGGGGAGGGGGCAAAAGAAAACATATTAGCCCTCGCAAATATGCCAGTTTCTCGTTACAAATATGCAGTCGTAGACGGAATTTCTACACCAAAGTATCCTTCTAATCTTTCTCTACAATAAAGTGAGCCCTCCTTCACTGCCCCATCGTCTCCAGAATACGACGTACATATCTCTCATCGCCGTCCACCTTAAAGAAGCCTATCATACTTCTTCCAGCTTAAAGCTTCCACGCAATTTCTTGAGTCGCTTCACTGTTGGATTGTTCCCTGAGGGAATTAGCTCTAAATATGCATCATCCTCCTTACAAGCGTTTCACAAAACGTCGTAATGGTGCACGTTCTATCGAGGCCCCGTTGAGCTCGACAAGTGCACCAAGTTTCCGGGGCGGATTTTTCGATGATATTCAGAAAAGGAAGGCTACCATGGAGTTTTTCCTATGAAGTGGAATGTGGTCTTCATTCCTTAGTTGGGAGCATTCGGTTTGGATTAGCGAAATGTGATCAAATCCACCTGATTGGAAGACATCTTTATTTATTGCCCTTGTTTGGTTTTAAGGTTTAATAGAATAATTGTTCCGATAATCTAATAAAATATGTGATTGTGAGGTTTTGAGACCGGGATGCTCTTCACCAAAATACTTTCCCTTGTTCTAACCCTTTCTTCTGTCTGTTGAAAGAAGTTGCTTTTATCTATATATACCTGCCCTTCTTCGGGGCTTTCTCTGCTAAAGCCATTTAATCCTCTTATATTTTGTACGGTAGTCTCAAGGTTGTTCTGAGATGCGATATGACAATGTGTCGGTTCGAGGTTCTGTTACGAAAAACTCAGAACGTGGCCTGTCAGCCTCGCTGGTTGGTGGGAGTGGCACGCATGTGCTTAACCATGGCATTTACGAGTCGTTCTTGCTCTCTCCATTCCGTCTGCTTGCTGCTCCTATGTTTTATAGACCTTTTTAGTTATGCCGTGCGGCGATTCCGAAGAAGGGTCGTCACAGTCGGCTCCGTCGCAATTCGAATGGGAGCTGTGCCGTGAGAACATAAAACCGCTCAAGACTGGGCGTTCACCGAATCGCCCCGTAGGATCGCGTCGTGTCGAAGCAATAAATCAGGTCACTTATTCCTGTACGAATTTGGTTTTTTTTTTCTTTTTTTTTTGGGCCGAAGAAACTGTAATTATTGAGTAATGCTACATCCCTTACCGTAGAGCTTCGACATCTACTCAATTAGAGTATGTAATCACAAAAGCGTTTTTCAGTCTGCTAGGTGTGTCGACCCCCCGTAGGCCCAGCATCTGTTGCATTTTATACTGATCGTCCAACCACGTGGCGCTGGATGCTCACTCACATGTTGTCCAATCCATGCTCGGCAACATGCTTTTGGCGCTGATTTCGACATAATTTATGTGGAACTTATCTCTCTCGTTTAGGCTCTCGCTCTTAGTGCACATGGCTCGAAAGCCCAAACTCTGGCAACGCAGAAGTTCGATGAGATTATGGAATTGTGTGAGACGTCATCGGACCCTCTCAAACACTGCCTTGAGTTCTGCACTTGGTTCGATCAAACATTCCCGCATGGCCGTCAGCGCTTGTATTACTCGTTGCTATGGAAAATAGTACACAAGTAGGATTTCTTTCCAGAAATATGCTTCTTCTTGGAGCTAACATCTTTTTTCCTAGGTACGCTAAATGTCCAGAATATCTCGACGATGAGAGGATGCTGCGTGTATGGGAGAAGTTGGCCGATAATAGTCTTGATCATGGTTGGGAAATTTACCAACACGCAAACACGATTGGATCTTTAGTCAGGTAATTTTTCCGCGCATTTTCACTGCAACTCTCATTTCATCACACTATGTACGCTTCCTTGTACTTATTTGTGACTCCCAACGTCATGGTTGGTTCCGCCTTGTTCAGTAGGTTCATTGGAGAACAGGCCGTTAGCATAACAACCAATTTGGATCACATTAAGAAGGGGTAGCAAAGAAATTTTCTGTGAGAGGGCAAAAAAAAGTAGGCTAGCATCAAGCCGCTTAATCGTGCATAAAGTTCTCAGGGCACTTTTTATATTTTTGAACGTTCTATGCTTTATGAATAATACACCCTAATCGACAGCCTCACCATACCCTGTTCATCTTTCGAAATGGCCCATATGCCCTCAAAAACTGCAGTCGGGTAAATGCTCGAAAATGGATATAGCCGATCTGCTTGTGAGTAATAAAGTCGACTCGTGGAAGAAGCAAGTGAAGTGGGTACAACCTTGTGGGTAACTGAAAAACTTTGGATCTTTCAGACGCTGGAACGATTTTATAGCCTCGTGTAAACTGAGTGAGCATCTTCCACTCTGACGTTCAGCTGCATACGAAGAGTCTCATTTGAACCTGAGTGAAACCTTTTTTACATCGTAGCTCGTAGCTTTCAAAGGCCTACTATTCCTAGAGTGGCCTGGGGAAGAAACCCTTCCAATTTCAATCAATCAGTAATTCCCTGAAGAATTGCGTATCTTCAGTGTGTGTGCCTGTTAAAGAAAAAAAAATGGTGTAAAGATTTATATAAAAACAAATAAGATAGTTTGGCCCAATGGCGACCGGGGGAGCTCTGCATGCGGCCGCTGCTCATCGTAGAGTTTAGGCCTAT